CGAAACATCTGCATGCTTCTATACCAGCCTCTAATAACTTATTTTGATAGTTGTCGGCTGAAGAAGCCCGAAGATTAAAAAAAACTTGTTATATATGGGGATTGTAATATTTTCTTCTCAATTCATTATTAAATAATGAACAATATTGTCAATAAATCAGAATAGTTAAATAGACTTGTTTTATTAAAACTGTCCAAATATAATATTACACATCATCGTGTCCAAACCACACCCTCATTCGTCACACTTCCTCGAGACCGTGGTAACACAAGTCAGAAAAATAATGTGTCCAAACCACACCCTCATTCGTCATACTTCCTCGAGATCGTGGTAACAAGTCAGAAAAATAACGTGTCCAAACCACACCCTCATTCGTCATACTTCCTCGAGATCGTGGTAACAAGTCAGAAAAATAACGTGTCCAAACCACACCCTCATTCGTCATACTTCCTCGAGATCGTGGTAACAAGTCAGAAAAATAACGTGTCCAAACCACACCCTCATTCGTCATACTTCATCGAGATCGTGGTAACAAGTCAGAAAAATAACGTGTCCAAACCAAACCCTCATTCGTCATACTTCCTCGAGATCGTGGTAACAAGTCAGAAAAATAACGTGTCCAAACCAAACCCTCATTCGTCATACTTCATCGAGATCGTGGTAACAAGTCAGAAAAATAACGTGTTCAAACCACACCCTCATTCGTCATACTTCCTCGAGATCGTGGTAACAAGTCAGAAAAATAACGTGTCCAAACCACACCCTCATTCGTCATACTTCCTCGAGATCGTGGTAACAAGTCAGAAAAATAACGTGTCCAAACCACACCCTCATTCGTCATACTTCCTCGAGATCGTGGTAACAAGTCAGAAAAATAACGTGTCCAAACCACACAAATTTCAGCCAATCAAAACAAATCACTAGTTATGACGCTTTGTTTGCGAATGTAAACAAAACGAAAGTAGCGTGTCATTTCATATATTAATGCCTACGGTACAGAATTGAGTAAGATTTTCGTGAATGAATTGAAGCCGAGATAAAATAAAACCTTACTTTGAAATATTAACTTGGAAAGAATGTGTTCTTATCTCTTCAAACTGGCGGCGGTAAAGCCATGTTGTGTTTTGTTTACATGACCTCATTTCTGTTCTACCGATCTGATTGGTCAGATTTAAATAGCATCAATCTCATTTCCACGCCCACAAAACAAATTGAAGTGAGTTTAGTTTAATATAGGTTAATAAGACCAGGTCAAAACCTGTTTTCATGATACGATGTATTACACATATGATTGGATGATTGACAGGAAGTTATAATAATGCCCTAACAACTGTGGAATATGAATGAACTGTAACAATGTATAACTTCATGATATCTATATTGAATTGTCAGTCAATATCACAGGTTATTCAACTGGGCTATAACATCAATATACTACATTCCTTACCCGTTAATTTAATTTAATAACACACTTGAACCTTTCGGCAGAGGATTCAAGACACCGTTCTGAAGGTGTTAATCCGGTTGTAGTTTGAGGTGTAATTCTATAATGAAATAGAACTTTTGATAAATCCGTAATATCAAAGGTTATTCAACTGGGTTATAACATCAATATACTACAGGGATATTTCCGTAATTTCACTCCTAAGCATAACTAGGTGTTATAAGAATTTACCTGACCATTCCATTGAAGACCTTATCATGCCTATTGAATCAATTCCTGACTCTGATCTTATCAAACCAAAAACAAAACGATTACAGAGAGAAAGCTACTGGATGGACCAACTCCAAACAGTGGCTCCAGCGTGATAATCAAATAATTCCATTTGTTGCCACCTTTAATCATACAGCTGCCAAAACCTCATCCATCGTCAAACAGTATTACAGTGAATTACAGAACAGATTTCCGAATGTATATACCAAACGCCTATAAGCGCAATAAAAACCTTAGTAATTTTCTGGTCCGTGGTAGACTCGATCCCATTGAATCCAATAATACTTGACCCCCCTCTCTATTTTCTAGCTCATTAAGTATAATATATTCTAATCCTTATATATAGATGTTTATCTTTTCAGAACCTATAAATACTCTTTTCTTTTAGAACTGGTAACAAGAAAACTTTCATATTATAGACTTTTGTTTATTTAGATTACTCGTGGTTGTTTTTTTTAACTTAATACTAACTATGCTAACTTCACCTTATCTTGTATTGAACATTTATCTCTTTATTTGTGACCTTGGCCAGTGCTTTACATAGAAGTTTTTAGGAACTTCTTCACTCTTAACACCAGTTTTATTGATAGCTATAAATAGAAGTTTATATCTGTTATAGAGGGTCTTTTTTAATGGACCAAATTCAAAATGGCCGTCATCCCTGATATTCCGAGTACTATTTCTGATAATTTTGGTGTTAAAATGTAAGTTTTCAAGGTCAAGGAATTCATTTATGATGGTTTTTAATCCATATGGGCAGTTTATTATCGTGAAAATTGAATTTAATTTTAAATGGCCACCATCCTCGATATTCCGAATACTATTTCTTATGATGGTTGTTTGTGGTTTTTATTGCGAAAATTAGATTAAAACATTCAATATCCCTTAAGAATCTTCGGGAGTCCCTTAAATTGTAACACATAATTTATCCAAAAAATGTTTTCACAAATTCTAGTGTATGTCATTATTGGTGTGTTAGTAATTATAATAAACAGTCCAACAACATATTTTACTACAGTCCAACAATATCTCTTACCACCAGTCCAACAACATCTCTTACCACCAGTCCAACAACATCTCCACAACCAGTCCTAAAACATATCCTTCTACCAGTCCAACAACATCACCACAACCAGTCCTAAAACATATCCTTCTACCAGTCCAACAACATCACCACAACCAGTCCTAAAACATATCCTTCTACCAGTCCAACAACATCACCCAGCAATATTCAACTTACACACAACCAATCCTACAAGATTCCCTACCACCAGTCCATCAATCTCCCTTATTACTGGTCCAACAGCAACTCCTTTCATCAGTTCAACAACATCTCCATCTTAATCTCCATTAATTAGTGAAAATTAATTTATAGTAACTAGTTACCTCCCTTTAATGTTGAAAACTTATTTATAGTAACTAGTTACCTCCCTTAAATAGTGAAAATCAAATCTTAATGACTAATTACTTCCCTTAAATTGTGAAAACTAATTTATAGTAACAAGTTACCTCCCTTAAAAAAAATATCTATAGTAACTAGTTACCTCCCAAAAATTGTGAAAACTAATTTATAGTAACTAGGTA